TTTGATTGGCCCTGGGGATGATGGAGAGTTATAGTTAAACGTTGGCATTATACTTCCACAATCTAACCAACCAAGACACCGATCACGAATCGCAATATTGGTTGTGAAATTTACGCATGAAATAAAAATGATGTACGGGGAAAGAAAAAAAAATTCGGTCTAAAAATATTCTACCACGTAATTTTTTTTCTTCATGTATGTTTCTCAAAAGAAAAATGCTCAAGGGCAATGCATTCACACTCCACACGCGAGAATAATTATGTTCAGGCCACAGAAGACGCCACCGTGAGTTTATATAATGGGCACTTAAACATTTATATCGGAATCGATGTTACGGAAGACACCAGCATTAAGATAAAAACACACACACACACACACAAGCGCGCAAACACGCGGTCCCAAATCTAAAGTGACTTGCTGGTGTATTATTAATGGTGAAGGGAAAGTGTGTCAGGCAGATCGGGATGGAGTGGGAAGACAGGGGAAAGCAACTGCAACAAACGGTGCCATAAATAAATAAATTGATGTACGCGTGCATCAGGCTCCCGGCAGTCGGGTAATGCACCTCCAGTCTCCACGCACCGTGAGCGCTGCGCACGTTGCACGGACCCGGGTCTGTACACGGAAGAATTCTGCAGCATCGCAGGCGGTGCTACAGGTGGGCAGAGGGGCTATCGACCCCCCCCCCTCTCGCCCCCCCCCCCACCCCCTTTAGCCACCCATCCCCACCTGCGCACCTTTGTTGCGACACCATTCAGATGCCCCTGCTCATGAATTGATGGTGCCACTCAATATGTTTATCATCATCGAATTTCATAATTACTATGACCAGCCAATCACAACCTCGTGCTGGATTAAGGCCTCCCCAATCAGACTATGCCACATCAGGGTCTATATGTGTAGCAAAGCACCCATCGTCGTCAGTTTTTTTAAATATATTCTTTATTTTTATTATTTTCATTTTATTTCATATCTACGTGACTTTACCGAAAACACCAAAGAATACAAAGCACCCATGTTGAGGACTCGGTGTTAGCAGACTGACTGTTTCATCTCATCCACACTCTGTCCAACCACCACGCTGCAGGTCACAACAACTCACCCACTCACCCACTCACTCACCCACCCACCCCCTCCACCACGCTGCAGGTCACAACAATGCACTCAACTCACCCACCCACTCCACCACGGCTGCAGGTCACAACACTTTTCTGTGTATTCCTCACCTCGCACTGCTCAACTTTGGAATTCTCTCTCCAAACATCTCTTTTCCCAAGTTCTTATAACAGCTTAAACTTTGCTCAATTCAAGAAAAGTGTTACATTCCTATTGATGAAAACCGTGACGGTGATGTGCGTTTGACATTTTGGGTCCTAAGGCCTGTGCTCAGCTATTGTGTTTAAAAAAAAAACGATGCCATTATTTCTGGAGCAAAAAACTTGAAGATGCTCTGGCTCACTTTCCTACTCGTACATCGCATGGATTATGAAATGCTGGACTTGATAAAATGCAGTCAGCGGTGGCTTTGTAACCCTAGGTGAAGGCAATTGTGAGATGCTAGTTTCCATCGGAATGAAGAAAAGTTTTCTTAAGTTTAAAAAGTTTACTGTGCAAAGCCATATTTGAATTATAAGTTCAGGCCCGATGCTCGCTTAGAAAGGCCTTTATCTAGCAGTGGATAGAAGGACAACAAACTGAACCGCTTTTTGTGTTTAGTTTGTCCATCCCCCGCACCTCCGATTAGCACAGTTGGCAACATACGGTGCGAAAAAAGTTCAACATATATACAACAAAAATGATGATGATGATAAATAATCTAACTAAACCATCCTTTGTGATTTTAGTGTCTAAATCTTTCCGCACATCACCTCCCCTCTTTTATTTCCTTTCTCTATCTACTTCCTCCCTTTGCCTCATGCCATAAAAAAAAATCACCAATCATATCCACAGTGTTGCCATTAGAGTTAGAGAAATAAAGAGCTAACAAGAAGGGGGTGATGATAAACGACGGCAAACAAACACTGCCATGAATAAATGAGTGGATGTGCACGGTGTGCGCAACGCCTCCAGGCAGCGCACGCGCCGACGTGACGTCAGAGAACAGCCCCAAGAACACGGCACCGCAGGACTGGGGCAGTGAGTATCAAGTAACCAACTACTATGAACTATTTTCATTTGACCAGGTAAGGCCCACTGAGTAAAAAAATATTTTTTTTCTAGACATCCCCTCCAGAGGGTTTCTGGTATACTCTTCCATGCTGGACAGACCTGAAATTAGTATAATTTTTTAAAATATATATAAAAATATATTGTTTTACCTTGGTGTACTTTTCATTGCATAGAGAGACTGACCACCGTCACAGGAATGTCGAATGTCTCGGGGGCTACAGCAGAGATGAGCACTGCCACGCACGCAACTGATTGGGTGGAGTGACGACTGAACGGTAAATTATCTCAAAATAAAAGAGCGTTCATTTGTACTCTTAGGTTTTTTTCGGTAAAGTCACGTAGGTATGAATCCTTGCAGTCACGAAAGCTTCAAATCTAGAAGCCTTCATTGGGGTTGTCGCTTTCGTATTTAGTTTTTTTAACAGTGACGCAATGGAGAAAGGTCAAGGTTCAGCCTGTAGTGTCTTGCTCACACCACTGCTGGAGGAAGGGCGTCCACCAGAGGTCGCTCGAGCGAAAGCCCCTCTGTCTTTCTTCCACAACAGCGAGGCATCTTGGAATAGGCGGAGGCGAGAACCCACTGCCCATACTTTACCCACTGCACGAGATCGGCCGATCGGCCTGCGTTGTGCCCATTTAAAAACTGCCCGGTGGCCATAGGCGGAGAGGGGATTTCAAGAAGCTCGCTCCGTTGTTTTCACGAGCCGCACCGGGAGATTGAACCGCCGGGCTCAGAATTTCGTGGTTCATTGGTGCCAAGCATCACACCGCAGCACCATCCCATTTGTACAACATCAAAGCGCGCAGATGCTTGTTCAGCTACTGTGGGCAGCGTTTGCTGCAATGTTGTCAAAAAATAACTGTATTTTATAAATGTAGCCGTAAGCAAAATAAGCAGATGGTTTGCAAAATGAGAGCTTTGTTTATTTTGTTCGGAGCTACAGTGGTGGAAGGGTGCGGTATCGGAGGGAGGGACAGATTTTTAAAAAGACAAAGGGAGATTTTAAAAAAATACGATGAGAGACAGATAGACGTTAACAAAAATAGATGGATACAGACGATAAAAGACAGAAACAGGACACTGAAAATGAAACAGAGAAAACATAGACAGAGAGAAATGTACACTTAGAAAGATGCAGTCGGACTGTCACGGAGTGAGAGAGAAATCGGCAACACAAGTCGTGTTACACAGAATTAAGTGACACGGAGAGCTGTGAGTGATAAAATATAGACAGCCATTCAAATGGACAGCCACAGTATATAGACTGCAACGATCAGACACAGATTAACATAGGAGAAGACATGCAAATGGATAGGCAGACATATAGACTAACGCGGCATAGATAGAAATAATGTGAGATGTTAAGCACAGCCCAGAGCCGATAAGACACAGAATGAGAATGCAATGACAATTAAGAAATGAGGCCAGCAGAGAGAGCAAGAGAAGGTGCGTGAACAAGGACCGTGACACAGGCTCACACAACATGCGATTAACCCTCACAACACCACAGGACACACGTCAGAATGTCACGTAACCCGAACCGCAGCACAAACACAGCACAGGTGCAATATCTCGCCTTTGTTGGGCTAAATGCATATGCACTGCCACTGACCAGGGGCATATATTTGTACCTTGTATTATCGGGATTACTTTCCACAGGCAATCCGGATGCAAAGACCAATTCCCAGACTTTACATGTCAGCCCTGAATGAGTGTCAACTCGAGCAGTGATGCAGAAGTACAGTAGTTTGATTTGTCTGGACTAAAAACACATTGCCATTGGCTGGAGGCCCAGATAGGGACGTGGTATTATCTACATTTCCTCCGATGGGCAGATGCTGATTCCCATGCTGAATATTTCAGATGTGGATGAGTTGCAGCACTTGTGGTGGCACAATTGAAAACTAAAAGCACGAGGAACATGAACTGGCTAAGGACCCCATTTAAGCTGTTGTATTGTTCATGGTTGCTTAAAAACAAGTAAAGTAGACAATGTGATAATTGCTGGACCGTACGAGTTCAACCCAGAGTCAAGGATGTGTGGCAACTCTAGCAGTGATAGAGGCAATCTGATTTGCAGGCTAAACACCCAAGCCGTGCCATTTGGCTGGGGTGTAAATACAAGCTTTGCGTCAGCCACCTTTCTTCCTTTGACTTTTTTATTTATTTTGCTAGCAGTCTCATGCAATGACAGAAAGATACGTATTTTTGGACTTATCACAGAACAGTGCATGATCTTATTTTACAGAACTAATTCTGTCCTCCTTTCCAAGTAACCTCTTGTCCACACTAGGGTACTGCTGTTCCCCATGTACCCTGCTACAGGGATAGAGTGCAATTAAACAGACATTATTTTCATTATTTTATTCTCACAGCTGGAATCTTGCCAAGGTACACCGACACTCTGCAGCTGAGCGCCCCATTTGTATCACCACGGTGGCGAGATGTTAACTACCTCGCCTGGTATACAGGAGATCGTGGGATCGATCTCAACCCTGACTCCTGAATGTTTGTAGTTTTGCATGTCCCACTCCCTGTGGTCGTGTGGATTTTTCTCCGGGTCCTCTGGTTTTTGCTCCACATTTAAAATCAACATGCGTTCAGAGTATTTGGCTGCTTTCAATTTCCATGCGAGAATCCACTTCGTTGAGCTATCGTTTGTGGCCAGGTCGCTTCTTTAAAAAAAGTCAGTGGACCTTACCTGAATAAAATAAAAGGTTAAGTTCGTAGTTTTTTTTTTTTCGATCAACCAGGGGCAGCCATAAAACACGGATCGGAGCTGGCACTTTCTGGGTCGAAAGTGGAACGGGTGGAGAGGGAGCTGGCCTACCGTCATGAGCAAGCCACGGCTCTCTCTGATGGCGCCGCAGCAGCCCAGGAATCCCAGTAGGAAGAGCACCACCCCCGCTGCCAGCATGATGTAAGTGCCGGTGAACAGCAGCGGGTTGGACGCGACGATCTCCCGGAAGCCACGCGGGTCGGCCGCCACCCAGATGCCGACTGCCAGAAGCGCCGCGCCTCCAAGCTGCGCACGGGAACGATTGTTCGTTCAATCATTCGTTCATTTTATTCGTTCAACACACAGCTTCAGTCATTCGATCACTGCGTACAGGCGTTGTCGGAGATGCACTCCACTTTTTGACATTTAATTTTACCAAAATTGCATTACACGGGTCTTATCGGCATTGTCATCATCGTCAGCCATGGCCAATCCACTGCTGGATGAAGGTTTCCCCAAGCCCCGGCCACCTCTCTCACAATCCTGCGATGTATTAATCCACCTTGCACCGGCAAACGAGAGGTGATTTTTTTTTTGTATTACTCCATCCCCCCGGTTGGATGTAAGCCGGTCATACAGCAGGCAACACACTCTCCAGCAACTCGGAACTATGATAATATAATTAACCTATGCATGCTCTCTCATGCGTGTGATCCCCTCTCTGTTTCTCGATGTAATTCCAAGCGGCGGGCATCTGTCCACGCTTCTTTGCGCGCTTTTCATTCTTTGTTCCGTTTTTTTTTGTCTTAATGATCGTGTTTCCGAACCACATGTCATACAGCAGGTGGCTTGCACCCATTAAACACTTTATTACTCTTTGGCTCTTTCAGTAAAGTCACGTAGGTATAAATTTAATAAATCACGACGTTTCGATCGCAACACAAGCGGTCGTCCTCAGGCAGTAAAAAATGTATCCAGCAGTTTTTTTTTTCAGCATATTTTTTATATATTTTTTTCTGCCTAAGGACGACCGCTTGTGTTGCGATCAAAACGTCGTTTTTTATTATATTTTATTTTACACCTACGTGACTTCACCGAAAGAACCAAAGAGTATGGATTCCTGCAGTCACGAAAGCTTCAAATTAAGATTAAAAACTTTCTTATTTAGGCACGTTGCGATTTTCAAAAGCACTCCAACCTGCTCCCTTCCACCTCTATATGTCATCATTTTGATTGCAGACCAACGTCAGTAGCTGTCCTGCGTACGCATCTTCTACTGTGCTTCCCGGTTGTGTGGATGTTCAACTTCTTCTGCACCGTACGTAGCCAACCGTGCTAATCAGAGGTGCGGGGGAAGGACAACAAACTAAACACAAAAGGCATTTCTGAAGAAGTGAGTTTTCAATCTACATTTAAAAGTGCATAGCTCCAGTGGCTTTCTAATATCGGAAGGAAGAGCGTTCCAGACGGCCACAGAAGTGCATCTGAAAGCGCGCGATGCGGTGACCGTCTTTGTCCGATGGCCAGCCAACAGCCACTGCTGCGAGGATGACCAGAGCTGGCGTGATGCTGCTTGTCGGTTGTGTCCCTCCAACAGACGTGTCCAATTGTTTCGCAAACTCGTTGTACCTGACCTTTGCTTTGCTCGCATTTAGTTGAATAAAGGGTGTTAAATTAACCAGCGAGAACACTGCCCCGATCTGCCACATTAAAAATACGGCATATCATTCCAGCCAGATGTAGGATCGTGTGTTGTTGAGCAGGTGGACTTTTCCAGTTCACAGTCAACGCTTGAAATCCACACACTGCTGGGTCAGCTTGGAAAGGCCACTCTTGCCTCAGCAGTCTAAGAGAGCTGACAAGGCCAAATTGAGTGTCAAAACAACTGTTTGAGGATTGTTTTGCACTGTTGCCTAAAGTCCACTTGAAACTGCGCCAAGACTGGTACAATGCGCCACATGAGTGGAGCTCTCACAAAGCCCCGAAACGCGTTGCAGCCAATTCAGTATCCGCGCGGTAGAATTGAACGAAGGAAGTCAGACTTAGCAGCTAAAAAAAAAATCTACGAATTTTGTCAGAGTTGTGATGCTTTGTACCGCGCATTGTTCGGCTCAATGTGTGACCTTCAGCTCCACGTGCTGGCAGCTTCTTCAGGAACTTTGGTTCAAGTTGAAATGTCAGACATCGTGCCAAACAATACAGCTACAATACTGGAAACTAAAACTACTAAACAAATTTTTTTATTTGAACAGGTATGGCCCACTGCATAGCGACCTGGCCACAAAATGAGAGCTCAAAGAATTGCCTTATCACGTGGAAATTTAAAGCAGCCGAATACTCAAAACGCATGCTGATTCTAAATGTGTAGGGGAAAAGCGGAGGACCGAGAGACAAATCCACGCGACCATGGAGAGAACATGCAAAGCCCAAATATATAGGCATCAGGGTCGGGATCGAACCCACGACCTCCTGTGTACCGAGCGAGGGAGTTAACATGTCGTCACCGCAGCGCTCCTTATTTACTCAAACTCATTTGGGACACGTGGGTGGCTCAGAGGTCGGACCGTCGAGTTTGCACCACTCAGGTGCTGGGATCCATTCCGAATAGTCACCTGTGTTTTAACGGAATCCACAAATCTAAAGAATATCTGGCTCCAGCCCGGTCACCAATGATTGCACAAACAAACAAAAAACCCTTCGCACGGACTTAATTTGGGATAAATTATAGCTCTGAGAATTAATCGATTTGACTTTTATATGAGGTCAATTACCGTCAATGGCAAAGCGAGCAGAAAAGTGGGTCAGAGGTCACTGTAAGGGATCTCAGAGGTAGCTCTGTCGTGTCTACTTCTGTGGGCTGTTCTCTCACTCAATGGGTTCAACTTCGTGATCTGAATCAATTCTACGTCTCGTGACATGAAGCCAATGGCACGATTAGGGCAACATATGGGGAAGACATTGAAAGTACACAGTCACGCATCACTTTACTCAAATTATTGGAAGGAGCTACGAGTTCCAGTGTATTTTTACTCATTTTCCAGTGCGTAATCCGGTTACCCTTATTCAGCATCTACGTGGTCGATTACTTTGTATATATATTCCTTACATTCTTGTTTTACCTTAAAATTATTCCAAACTGAAATCGGGGGGGATGTTCGTGTCAGCAGCTTGGGTTAATGCCAGTAAAGGAACAGCCAATGCGTGCAGATCACGCTACGAAGCCTACAGCCAGCACAGCACTGCGTTATAAAGTCACACGAACATCACACGTGGTGATTTGAAGATATTAATCATAAGATATCAATTGGAGCGTGTTTTACATTGAAATGACCATTATTGCAATGTGCTACGTTGTTTATAATACTTCGAGTAGTGAGTCGTCATGGAATAATTATAGTTTAAAGTAACCCCATCCAACGGGCATTCTCAGTGTCCGCCCCTAGTTTCTGGAATGATATCGCCACGAAACTTGATTCACAGTCACTACCTTCACTCAATCGTCTTAATGTTCAGTTTAGTTAAATATTGAATTCATAATGAAGTAATATATTGTAAAAAAAAAATTGTTGACTTTTTTCATTGCTGTATTTATTGTATTTATATTTTTTATGCGACTTGTTACCAACGTATTTTCAATTTACAGTTTTTCTGTTTTGTTGATGAAACCCGATTCAAGAGCTTCTTATCTCACAGGGCAATTCTAAATAAACTGTTCAACTGTGCAACATCTCCTACCACGAGTGTATTTTCTTCTCATTGTTTGGCGTTTCCAAAGTTTAACAATTCCTAGTCTGAATGCTCCATTCATTTCACAACCAATAAAGGCATTGTAATCCTACAGACATACGCTGCAACTGTTTCTAGAATTTTGTTTCTATCAAGTGAACTCACAAACTGAAGCACCCCGGCTAATACATCTGGTGGTGCTGCTTTGAGAGTGTTGCACAAGCACAATCATTAATAACAAAATTCAACAAATGTCGTCAATAACACACTGTGTGGCCGTAAAAAAATAAATCTAAATATACAATGGCCGATGCTTCAGGGAAAGGGCCTTCTTCATAGGACGCATGTGCGTGAAATGTGACCTCGTCTTCTTCTACGCGTTTGTCCCACTCATGTCCGGGGTCCGCTGTCCTTGCCAACCTTCTCCACGCTGCGCTGTCCTGCGCCATCTCTCTTTCCGCTCCTCTGGCCACCGTGTCCCATCACAACCCCCCCCCCCCAACCACTTCTTCTGCCTTCCTCTTGATCGCTTTGCTTCCACTTGCATCATTTGCACCTTCTGACCCATATACTTTTCCCGTTGTCTCTCCAAATAACCCGAACCACACCACCCTTTCGCCTCTCATCTTCTCTGTGATTTCTACCACCTTGAGGCTTCCTCTCACTTTTTCATTTCTCACCCTGTCCCTTCCTTGTTGAATCCAACATCCACCGCAACATCCTCATCTCTGTGACTGACATAGCGTGGTCCTCCATCATTCTTGTGCCAATACACTCGGCCCCATACAACAGCACCGGCCTCACCACCATCTTGTACTATACACTACACTATACACTACACTATACACTACTATACACTACACACTAACTCCCTGCCTTAGCAGCGCTTCCACCATATATTCTCAGCAACTCTCCCACTATATTTTTCACCTGATGACAATTGCTTGTGTTGCGATCGAAACGTCGTGATATTGTTATTATTTTTTATCATTATTATTATTTGTTCTATCTACGTGGCTTTACTGAAAGACCCAAAGAATACTCTACACTACTATACACTACACTATACACTACACTGTACACTACTATACACTGCACTAGACACTACACACTTTTCCCTTCAACCAAACTGGGACCCTCTTATCGCACACCACACCAGTCATCTTTCTCGCCATTGCAGCCATCCAGCCCCTGTTCTCATCTCTCCTTCGAATGATCCATCAGCACATATCGTTGCACCCCATATACTGCATTATTATTGACGAATATCTTAATATATATAACTGGCTTTTACAGGCTTCTGAACAGTTACAAATGTTTAAAATGTCATCCACCGAGCCAAGCATGGGCGTTTACCTGTCAATCTGAAAGGTTGTGAGTTTAAAATCCAGGTTTGCTGGTTGATACAACTCTTCACGACTACCGTGCTTAACCTAATGCGTATAGATGATCCCGAGTTAGTGAGTTACTCATGTAAATTCTGACGGTGTTGTACAAGAGCAATACAGCTAGGCTTCCGTACAGTTATAGTCGAGTCTATGTTCAGACCACACTACTATGTACAAGCCCGTCTGTCAACCCACTGCTGGATGAATGCCTAGAACACAACGCATCGATGTTTAGTGGTGTTTTAACCATACTTCACCACGCTGGTCAGCGCAGGTTGGGTGAAGTGGGAGACCAGGATGGGTCTCGGTATCGCTCGCCACTGATGTTAGCCGTGGCGAGGAATACGAGCAGTGGTCACCGGATTCATAGTCCAATGTGGAGGGTGATTGGTATTACTCCTTCAGTGCAGGGTCAGTATTACGTTAGAAACCAGTTTCAGGCCGATGCAAAATATACTTAACAATGTGCGATCCCCATTTAGCAATGATGCAGATGATCCATCTCTTGTAGAGGGTAACACTAATGCCAATAGAAAGAAAGTGAGCGCTGCCCAGAACCAGTTATTAGTTTAACATAAGGACATCTTTCATAGAACACGTTTTCAGGAACACATAAGAAAATGTTAAAATCTAAACATGAATTAATTCATATGTGTTTTAGTGAACATTAGGCACTAACTACAAAGCCCCAACTCATAAAATAGCTCAGTGTCAGTAAGTACTTGTACACTTACACATGTATAGTGAATATATTACCTTGCATCAATACACAATGATAACTGAGCAACCCCTTTCCCCTATGTATATATTTGTGTGACTATCAAGTAGCTGGCTGGGTCACACTGTGGTTTAAAAATCAAATCTCAGTCCACGGCTGTCAGCCTATCATCACTCGATGGTCCATAATATAAAAAATCCACGACATTTCATCAGAAACCTGATAATGGTTGATCGATGGAATGACTGCCCCTACCCCCTCTGCCCGCCATAGCAATGTGGAATGTCCACTGGTGACTCAAGGCCATCAGCAGGGATGAACAATGCCTCCCACCCTCGCGAGCGAGGAGACGCATGCGACTTGTCGAGTTAATTTACAACAGAAAAACGTCTCCGTCACCAGCCTTTGCATTTTAACGTTGATGCAAAAATCGTTGCCGACACTCGTAAGGATTACGGAAAACAGTGATACCTCCAAATGCAGGTATCAGTGTTGACAGTTTGACATACAAATTTGATGATATGTTCACTGGCACGAATGTGCAACTTACGTATCTCTCTTGGTGAAGCGCATTTAACACACAATTTCACCTGCTGCCCGTATCCAATCAGTATATCAATCAATCAAATTACATAGCTGGATGACAGTCCATCGAGATTCGTTATCTCTTTTGAATTAAAAAATCTTGACTGTCATTAATATTTAGTTATTTCATATTCGGACTGTTTTTCAAGTAAATATGTATCCCTGCTCAAGCAAGCATCGAGGGTGGCACTTATATCCATTGGGTGTCCCTGAGCCAATTATGACAATTCCACATTCCCATGGTGGGTGCCAGTCCATCCATAGAACAACAGCTGTTGAAGTCCCACACAGTGGCACTCGTGCTATCGACCTCGGATGGATGACAGCCTGAGTCGACCCCTGACTGGGATTTAAACTCGGCAAACATAATTTGAATGCACACATATCGATGAGCAACATTTGAAAAGTATTCAGCAGTAGTTTCATGCAATGCATCGTGAATTAATTAATTCTTAGTTAAGACATGACGATTCAAGACATTTCTGTTTGCACATCAGGTCTACAGAAAGCGACAATTTCAAGGTCAAGTAGGAGACCATTATTTCAACGATAACAAAAGCATCGGCAAGCAATGATTGCTGAGTGTCTAATGCACGCGTAATCAGAGGGAAGGAGACAATAAGGCAGGCAGAACAAGACACAAACAGGTGACGAGCTTAAAAACGACTGTGCGATCCGCCCCAATTACCCCGAAAAATCTACACGACGCAATCGTGGTGAAAGGCACTTCGACGCGAGTTCTCCCCCTTTCGACTGAACAGCGGGCGCATCGGAGCCGGCAACGGAGCGCGTGGCGTGGCGTGGCGCGGCGCGGATGCGTAATCGCTTACGAAGATGAGAAAGTTGAAGAAGAACATCAGGTATTTGACGCAGGACAGGCAGTTGCTCTCCATGTTGGCGGCGAGGCTGCTTGGCAGCGCGACTTGGTTGCAGTGTAGAGATCGCCCCAGCCGTCGACGGTCTATCTCTGCCGAAGCGGGGCTCTGTGGAACAGATTCACGCACGCGCACGCACGCGCGCGTGCATCACTCTCAGCACATCGGCTCTCTCTCGCATGCCGTGCTGCTATGACAACGGGCTGCTCACTCTCTGCCAAATGTAAACACCCAACATTTTGCACGCACATCCAGACGGACACGCACGCGCACAGACGTGCGGACACGCATAGATGGGGGTCCTTGCATGGAATCGTACAAAGGCGGGGGACAAAGGCACAGGGACACACGGACACGCACAGATGCAGGAGATTAGTTCTAGTCTGCAGAGGTTGCTGGGGAAAGTGATGTTAGCGAGCGCCTATTAAGACCGGCAAAGGTGCATCGGATACTCATTTAAGCTGAGTCGACTCAAGTCTGGTTCACTTATTTTGGCTGAGAGCAGGAATTTAACTGAGGTTTCCAGGTTCATAGTGCTGCAATACACGACCGCCTCCACACTCAAACACAGAGAAACAAAGAAAAAAGACAAAGATCTCCCGCACAGCCTACACAGACTGTTGGCACACGTGCTGTGAGCAAGCTATGAAGGTCGGCACGGCACACCAATTGGTGGGTGGCCAACACCACGCATCGGGATGCCTTTGTCTCCCGAGTGGCGATGTTTACACACCGCATCAGGTATTCATTGCAGGCTGAGTCGACCTAGGGGAGACTCAGGGCCGAGTTCAGATAATCGTCACCGGTGTTGGCCGTGAGCGGGAATTTAACTTGGGTGGCTGGGTTCGAAGCGGTCTAGCCACGACACTACCACTCCCCACAATGTATATGCACACACACGAGGACGAATACATACACACGTGTCCACACATGCAAGTACACAAGCGCATGCACACAGACGTACAATGTCAATTGGCTTTCGGACTCAAAGGCGACACTATGCACGCAAGGGCAGGACAAACGTTCCACTCACAAATTGGAAAAGGCTAATATTAGCGAGCGCCTATTAAGCCTGGCATGGCAAATATGTACCGCCTGCTTTGCATTCCCGTTGTCCACAATGTACTCATTTTAGGCTGAAACGACCTACATTACCGTGAAACCCAACACCAGGTCGAGATGTCAATAGCCACTGGTGATTGTGCATAACCAAGAATTTAACTCTCTTAGATAACAGCGGCGTTTAGTTTGCAGACCATCCATACCATCCATCCAAGGCAGTACAGCAAGTGGACTAATCTCCACATGTTAATTTCTGTACAGGGATAGAGTGTTGTCCCCTCGCACGCGTGCATTTTCTCCGGGTGCCACGGTTTTCTCCCACTCGTACAATAAACACTCATCAATAATTGGCTTAAAATATCTAAATATAAAAAATCCAATGCAGGACCCTCCTGAAAAAAAGAGTCATACGACTCAGTGTGGCTCTCCTGGATAAATAAGTCAATCATTATTATTTATTGTTATTACCACTCTGTCAGATCCCCCCCCCCCCCCCATTAGCCGTATAAACTGCCGAGGCAAGCGCCGAAAGCGAATTACTATTTTGATCATAATAGCACACAGGAGAGCGCTGCTGCCAACACGACACCCGGCCATCTTCGTCTCCCCAATGCTCCGATGTTGACGCTGCGCCATGCAGGAATTACACTTGGGCCGATGCAACGCAAAGCTCTGCACGATGATGTTCAGATGACAATTTCCCACGGGCAGGAGTCGAACCAGGATGGCGCTGGGGCTGTGAGGCAGTGGCGCTAGTGACACGAATGCCCTCTCACCGTGAGTCGTGCGCGTAGCGCAGTAATAGCACGCGCGGGACATTATACACGCGGCACACTCGTGTGAATACAAATGTTCACCAACAAAGAGAGCAAATATATTGTCACATTGATCACGGTGACAAGGCCAACAACAGCGCAGAGTTTAAACAAACTCTGGTGATTCTTTGAGCTTATATAATTTAAGCGGTAATAGCCAAGATTTGTTGTATGTTGCTATTTTTACTGTCACACATCAATCTCCACGTCGCAGCATTTAGAAGCCTATCTATGTCACACGCTCAATGTTTGTCCGCGTGTTAATTCTACGTGAAACATTTAACAACGCCCACATCAAACATTGTGATCATATTAACGTCACTTCATTAAACATATGGATGTCTTAAATATAGCCGAGTAACAGCTACATTAGCATAACATCTCAGCACATACTTATTTTGCCTTAATGCATTAACAAATAAAATGAAACACCACTTTGCCCTCTTTACGTGTAAAATGTTTTAATCGCACTGTTCAAGTCTTTTGTCAATCCACTGCTGGATGAAGGCCCTCTCCACATGCCGTGTCGATCATGGGCGTTGCTTGACCATACTTCACCACGCTGGTCAGTGTGGGTGGCTGACCAGGCTTGGTTCGGATATTACTTCGCACCGCTGTTCACTGTGGCCAGGAATCAAACTCCGGTTGACGGGTTCATTGCGCCGTTTGCTAACCACTGCACCACCACTCCCTACTTTAGTAATACTGTAGTACTGCATACACTTTCATATATAACACATATGTATGTATGTTGAACTTCTTTCGCACCATACATACCCAACCGTGCTAATCGAAGGTGTGGGGGAAAGACAACCAACTAAACACAAAAAGCAGTTCTAAAGAAATTAGTTTTCAATTATCCATTCATTTTGCTGCATGAATCAACATTTAATTTGCAATAAATTATGCATAATTGTCAACAGAGGTTATGGAAGCCTAATTGCGAATGATGAGTCCCATATATATAAAATCAATGGGGATGTTGTAAAATATATACATACATATACACTCGCTTGTGTAAATTACACAAATGACAGGTGGTGAAAGCCAACTGGAGTAGTAAGAAAGATTTCTGAAGGTGGGTGGACATGCCCAGGAATAGCCCTGTTTGTCGATGCACTGCTGGATGAGGGCATCACCATGCCCGTGTCATTGGGGGTTATTCGATTATACTGCACCGTGCTGACCAGTCGGTGAATGCGAGTTTTTTTTTTATAATCGACATTGGATCACAGTTACAGTCCAACAGTGGGGTTTCCTGTTCATTTCACAGAGAGGGCGGTCGCTCATCTCGGCACTTGTGCAGGCTCAAGGCTGTTTAGCTTCTGAGATCTGAGAGATTTGGTACGTTCTGGATGAATTAACACAGGCAGGGAAACACAATCCAATGCAGCTGGGCAGTGTTACATTAAAAGGCCACTATCCCTCCAGGGTTGATACAAAGAGTGCCGACTTTATGGGAGGTCAAATATAGTCATCTTTTTTTGTAAAACAAAATAAAACCGGCTTCCTAAAATGAGAATGAGGATGTAACGCCACTGTCTAGGCCTCACAAACAGACGCGAGCCCTCTATCAATTTTCTCATTTGAGCGGCGAGAAGAATCGACCACAGTTTAGACGTCAGAAAACGCGACCAGCTCGCCTGTTTTCAGGTGACTGTCTGTCTTGCAAGTGACCTTGAGAGGGAATTCCCAGAAAGCGGCGACAGGAACACTGAGAACAGATCCCAATGTCGACCTCAGGTGGCCCAAAGATGTTCACAGAAGCTGATTTAATGCCTTGCTGTTACAGATGCTGCTCATGGGAAACTCCCCGGCTCGGGAAGCAAGGCAAACGAGACCACAAAAGGCCTATTGTGCAGCTTGGTTTAACTCCGGTCAAAGAGTCTACATCCTCAAACAAGCAAAGGGGCACTGTTTATCTCCGGATCATTTCCACGTTTCCACTGTGTCGGCCATTCTCTCGCAAAATGGTTCGTAATTTCTGAACGGCCTGAAGAATGATGGGCTGAGTCCACGGTGGGACTAGGATTTCAAGTTATAGCCTTCGGATTGCAAGTCAAATGCTCTAACCAACCAACTGACTTGATTTAACGATAATCTCATTTTCCTAGTGAGACTTTCAAAATGACGGTGGTGGTGGTGATGATGATAGCTTCTTGCACGAGTGATTGTGGCAGACCAGTATGATACGTAAATGCATGCATGGTTTGTAAGAGGACACGGACATTACGTTTTATTGGCAGAATGGATGTTCATGATCAACTTGGAGTTTACCTTGCCATGCTTTAATATTGCAGAATTGCAATTTGTGTCCATCTCAAAAGCCTCTGATGTTTTAATATTCGTGTTTGTTCAAATCTGAGAGCACGCATGTGTGGCTTTGTTTTTGGAGAGCAGTGGCGGCGTGGTTAGCACGTTGAACTACAAACCCGGCGACCGAAGTTCAATTCTCGTTCATGGGCCTCCCCTGGGTCGACTCGGCCTCAAATGAGTACCTGATGCGACGTGTAAACATCGCCACTCGGCAAGCAAAGGCAGCCTGGCGTGATGTTGGCCACCCACCCTCTCGTGTGCTGTGCCGGCCTTCAAAGGTACTCACTAACAGCACTTTCCCCAAAAGTATGTTAAGGCTACAGGGGGGATGTTTGTTTATTGTTTGTGTGTTCGCATGTGCTTTGTGACCAATGGCGCTGTGCTTCAGATTACATCTGAGTGCGACTACAAATTTTTTTTCATTGGAAAAAAACAACACATTCGCCGCTGTGTGTTTCTCTGCGATAGAAACCGATCTGACAGATTTTTCAATCTTGAACGCGTTAACTCGCAAAGGCACCTCAATTCCTGAAAGGAATAATTCTCTCCCGCCTCCTAATGCGCCGATGGATTAAATCACCTCTGACACAGGACGACATTCCCACCCTTGCCCACATATCTGACCATTGCACTCCAAAGGTTGGTCGAAAACATGAGAACAAGATTAAAACAACACAGCTGTTTGGCCAGATTTCAACAAAGCTGCCACTGCTTTTGTAATTCTTGATTCATCGCTTTAGCTTTTCTTCTTGACTATTGCTTTTTTTCCCAATTCAATTCCTAGAATCATAAAATTGTCAATTTAGCTTCGGCTATTTGTGGCAACCAAGACTCCCCATACACCACACCGGTAATACAATACAGTTCTGCTCATTTTCCGTATTGGTTTTACTTTACCAACGATAATACCGCATT